AAGCTATGGTTGGTTAAACGATCCGCAGGAGATACTGTCCAGGCACTGTGGTCCACACGCAGGTAACATACATGTGTTGGTCGTACCTTCATTCTAGGTTCGACGAGAGGTGGGAGCAAGGACACAGTCGAACCCCGGTGACGTTTGCAGTTCGTGCGTGCTGTGCTGGGGTGCGTGTTGTGTGTGTGTGTCGCGCGCGGTTATATCTATATATATATATGCTGGTGTGTTTGCTGCGTGCGTGCTGATGGGGTGTCGTGACGTGAGAGAAGTGTGCGTGTGTGATGGCGGCGCGGCGCGGGTGTCATATGTGTGTGTGCTGTTGGGCGTGCGTACGGTGCGGCGTGCGTGCGTGTAGGATATAGGCCAAGGAATACACAGTATCGAATTAGTAGCGCGGTATTCGGCGTGCGGCGTTGTGTACAGGCGAATTTGTTCGATGAGCGACGACGAAAGCCTTTACCCGTGAGGGCGTAGAGCATGTCTATTTTTTTTAACGGTATAGACGTACAGCCACGATATCGTTCGACTGATTTTAGGAGCAGTTGGCATTCGTTGTTATACACCGGGCTGATAAGTAAAGCGCGTGGGCTCGTTGACGCCTTTCTTTTCGGATTCAGTTTTTCGTTAGGTTAAACGTATAAATATAGAGTGCAATTTTGCGAGAGGAGGGAGCGTGAAGGGCGGGGTGTGAAGGAAGCAGGGGCCACGGATGGAAGGGCGGCGCGGGGCGCCGCTGCGGCCGGCGACGATGGCCGCGGGAGAGGCGGGGTTTAAGGGCAGGTGGCTTGACATACAGAGGAGGGCGGGAGGGGAGGGTAGAGTAGAGGTGCGGAGGAATAGCGGGGAGAGTCGTGCTGTGTGGAAAAGGAGAGGTAACGTGGGGAGTCGAAAAGATAGAGGTCCCGGGTACGCGCTTAAGATCAATTGATTCGTTTGACGTAGAAGCGGAATTTGGACGCCGTTGGTTTCGGAATGGGCGATGGAGGGGGTTTGCAGAAGGCGGATTGGGTGTTTGGGGCTTGGAGGGAGGAATGGGCAAAGGTAACAGTATACGTGTGGACGATTGCTCGAGGCGATGGCAGCGCAATTTCCGATTTAGACATCTAGCGCACTGATGACTTACCACTGTTGCGAGTCACGGCAGAATTTGAAGTTGGCGAGTTCAGGATATTGCATGGAGCCGTTTGCCGGATCGAATTTTGATTGCGTATTGCACGGATCGAATTGGTTTTTTTGCACGGAAGTTTTCGAGGGGTGGTGATTGGCACGCGAGCGATCGATTTGACTGTGTCGAGGCACGGGCGAAGCGTTACGAGGCACGCGATCGGAAGAAGGCGAGCCGTGGAAGCGAGCAGCGAGCTGGGAAAGCAAAGCATGCGCGAGTTCCGGGGGACGATGAGAGGAAGTGGGACGAGGGGAGAGGAGGGGAGAGGCGGTGGACAGGAGGGAGAGGAAGGGGGTTGATGAGAGAGGTGCGACGGGGGAGACGAGTGTTGTGGCTGTAGTGGGGATGGTACGAAGGGCGAGTGAGAGAGGTCTTATTTGAGGAGGAGGGATAATGGTAAGGGAGTCGAAGGGAGGTGATGTTAGAGTAAGGGAGGAGGGTCGGCAAATTCATTATGTTTGAGTGTAGGGCTTGAGAGAAGGAGGGGAGAAAATTGGCGACGGGGGAGGTTGGGATGAATGGTGGTGGGGTTTTCTTGGTGAGGTAGTGGGTGGGAATGGTGAGAGTGAGAGTGTTGTGGAGGGAGGGGAGTGGTTTGGAAGTAGAGTGTGTTGGAAGAGGATGTGTGGTGGATGGTGGTGAGGAGGTGTGGAAGAGGGGGGAATGGCTGGTGAGAGGGGAGAAGGGGATGGGTATGAGTAGAGGGGAGGGAGAAGAGGTAGAAAAGGAAGGTGTACGGGTAGAGGATGGTGCGGAGAGAAGAGCGGATGCGAAGGGAGAGGAGGAAGAGAAAGGGATTGGAGGGGGGGAGGATGTGGGTTGTTGTAGGGTAGAATAGGGGTGAAGAGAAGGGGGAGAGGGTAGAGGAGGGGAGAACGGGGGTGATGGAGGAGGAGGGGGAGGAGGCGGGGGGGGAGGGAGGAATGGGGGGGAGAAAGAGGGGAGGGGCAGGACGGTGTGTGGGCGTTGGATGGATGTTCATGAAGGTGGGAGAGGTGGGGAGGGAGGGAGGGAGGTGAGGGAGCGAGGGTGGAGTGAGTGGAGAGGAGGGGGGAGGGGATGGGGGGCCGGTGGGGCGAGCATAAAATCAACCATAAAACAAAAATCGAATTATGAAACAAAAAACATGCCATACTCTATCAGGGGGAGTATTTAGGCCCCCTCAAAATCGTAGGTCCATGCCAACTGGCCCACCTGCCCCCCCACCCCTCTGTTCTGGCCTGTATATAGACCATTACTTACTATAGACGCTGTCTACTACTAGACTACACTCTAACTCAGTAGATAATAGTAATTATCAGTCTTAACAAGTTACAGTCATGCCTGCAGACGTTTTTATGTCTTACCAATTTTTTATGGTCACCTATTATAGACAACACATTAATAAGAGTAGACTACTCACATTTCCCAGCTGCTCCTTGCTCTATCAACTATCATGCAGCTGTATACCTGTACCATAGTAGAGCTCATAGGGTCTATATCCCCCAGAGTACTATCGGAGGGTACCCTGGGTATGGTTCGATATATCGGAACGTACACTGGTAACTATCTGATATGGTTAATAGGGTTAGGGTTAGGGAGTAGGCGTAGGCGACTCCCTAGACTCGTTAGTGGAGTAGGCGAGGTACGGTCCGGCATATTAGATAGTACCAGGGTACGTTCCGATATATCGAACCGTACCCAGGGTACCCTCCGATAGTACCCTGGGGGACATAGACCCTCTCAGCCATATTAGAGCTAGACACATATAATGTACAGCAAATCCGTGCGCACCGCATTGTTTTTTTTTGGGGGGGGCATCTTCAGAGTGTCTGCATGGCAGGCATAGGCCATTCGGGGCGTCTGACGGATACACCCACCACTGAATTATTCTGGCAGTGGCCATTCACGATACCTGAGACTATGCCAAACATTTTCCAATGGGTGTCAGACGGTTTCCTTTCCAGCTAATCTAGCTCAATTTTGGGGTATCGGTTTTTTAGGTCTGGCGGATGCGCCCCACCACTAAAATATTCTGGCAGTGTCCATTCCTGATACCTGGGACCATGCCGAACATTTTCCAATAGGTTTCATGGGGTTTCCTCTCCAGCTTGGGGTGCCTTTCAAATGACCCCACTGACCACACCCACCACCGGCTGGTCGGCAGACTTCTATTTCCTTACATGGGTATGTACAGGAATCATTGCTATATGCATGAAAATTGGTTTCCTTTCCAGCTAGGCTGACCCCCCTGAGCTCCCAGTCTATATGCACGATGAGCAAGAATGTGCAACAATCATATGCCATGCTAATAAATTATTGATGGTGTAGCACAACCTACAGAATCAACTGTGCATGGTAGTTAGGGCAACATTACCTGGCTTGGAGAAAACTATTCTTCTGTTGGAAATTGTGGAAAATTAAAACCGGTCGATCGATAGAAACCATAAAATCCCATGAAAACCTCACGCGAGTTGTTTTTACCACATTTTTAACAACCATAATCATAGTTTCCCACAATACAAAAATAATCTGTATAGCATCCACTTTATGGTTGCCAACACATCTATTTATGATAACATGTGGTATATATACATATAACTAGCCGAGATGCTACAGGCAAAAGGAGGCAAAACACAGTACAGATGTATGTACATTTAAATGCAATAACTACTATCACCACACACATAAATGCCTTGATCCATACTGTACCCCATATATAATAAGCGTGTCTCCCACAATCGACTCTACATTTGAAACACAAAGACGGCGGCAGCACACAGTGCAGCATGCTACTTGAGCCCTCACCTAGCGACCAACACCAAAGGTGAACAAGAATCAGATGATGGAAATCCAGCATCAAAGCTGGAGATGCTTTGCCCGTAAAAGGGCAACAACTGAATACAGGAATACCGGCGACAGTAACATTGCCGATACATTTGCACAATGGACTCATGGTACATTCATCAGCGGGGCATACACAGCGAGTGCTAGCCTCACTTGAAGCCCCGCGCAAACTCTGCAATCAGCTGTGGACAGCGCTCATCAAATCCAACGATGTCCAGCATGCCTGCATCGTTGTAATCAGCAGTCTTAAACATCATTGTGTTCTTCTTCATTCCACACACCAGGAGCCTGCAGATGCACAAACGATGTGGAAAACACATGATCACTGGATTAGATGATAAACTAACGTGAAAGATGGAGGTATTTAATTCAGTCATCAACATCTCATGACTTGCAATGCAGGCTTAATACAATTCACCAAATCTGCAGTCAGGTTAAATGCAAGTTGTGGCATGATTTTATTGCACTTATGCACACGATTTCTTCGCAATAGTGGCATTTATGATGCAACCCTTGGTTGAAACACGCCCTCCTTACTTTGCATCCGGATTCACAGCAGCTCGATATTCCTTGAGTGCCTCTTTAGTGTTATCATTGGATAATTGTAAGAGATCACTCAGTATGAGAAACACATCAAATGCCGTCTTCTGCTCTGTGGCCCAGGTAAGAGGTTTGGATGGGTCAGTACCTCCAGTAATGTGCTGCAGGCAAACAAAGAAGATGTGTAACGGTGTAACAACGTTCAAATCTAACGTCATATACGTCAGGCAGTTTATTGGGTTGCTAGCAACTGATGGAACTGACTGAGGAAGGCAGTGATTTCTGCAAGAGTCAGCGAAGTGTAATAGGGGATATGTTATAAAGGCGTGCATACTATTTCCCACTGCTGTGTACTCACCGGCGTCAGCAGCGATGCAATATTCTCCACAGACATGCTCTTGTTAGTGCTGATGGGCTGTATCTCCTTACTGTGGAACACAAACACCGCTACCTCTGGCTCTTTTCTGACCAGTGCCGTCACCATAGCGGCAGTTATTGTGGATATGTGCGTGGTGACCACCCCATGCTCTCGTCCAGCTGTGGAGGAACCGGCAATGTCCACTGCTACGCAGTAGGTCTTGTCAGTCGGAACGAGGAGCTGTGAAACAGGAAATGCCGTCGAATCAAGCTTAATACCCGCTTAAATATATTTGCAGTTTGCACCGTAAAATTTCCATATTGGACAACCAAAGAATACTTCCATTAACAATTATATGTCTGGGTAAATATAATTCAAGTAGAATTTTACGACTTGACAACACAGAAACTTCAGCAAATTGGTATAACATTATCCCCCTCTATAGTAAGAATATCTGGTCACCTAGATAGTCTGCCTATGCTTGCTACATAGGGCATTCTCTTTCCTTACTATTACACACTTGTATGAATTCATGCAGATTTAAATAGAATCTGATTAAAATCGATAAACTTTAAACCTGGTTAATAGCACCTGGGTAATGGCACCTGGGTAATCTAGAAATGAGAATACATACCTGGCAAATGATGTTATTTGCATGTCTGATTTTAACATTATAAACAAACACAATGCCAATTCCCTATCTAACAAGGTCACAGGAACTGCACAATTCTCACTGTGTGTTACAAGTGATTGTTTAATCGTAAATACATTTAAACAAGAGCCGCCGAGCGTCTGGGCTCATCTGAGGTCTGTTGCTACGATTATAAACATAACATTTAAGTCGTGCATAGTGACACCTTTGTTAGGCGCAGATATGCAGATACGCAGATACGCAGTTGCGTACACATCATTTCAGCAACATTCTGCATTCTGCATACCTCCCAAATCCCATTGGTTGATACAAATCACGTGCCTGAAACTCCTGTTTTATGGTGCATTGTGACCCTAACCCTAAACTATTTAAAAAAAAAAAATGTTGTTGTTATTAAATTGTTGTAAATAAATCATGTAAATATTTGCATAATTGGAAAAAAATAGTTAAAGGATAAAGATAGAAAAATACAGAAAACGGGTAAATAATAAAAATCAGATGGGATTCGATCCAACGACCTTTGAGCCGTGACGCCTGTGCTGTACCCGTACGGCTATCCAGGCTTATTGGGTTTCTAGATTATGGATGTGCCATGAATATGACAACACTGTCACATCATTGAGGCAGTTGAGGAATCCATGTTTAATCCTCCTCTTGGGGGTCAAAAGGTTATCAGACACTTACTCTTCGCACGTCAGTGAAAGCACATTTCATGGTCCTTTCAATAAAGTGTGATAAACATGGTAGGTCAGCGCTGAAACAAAAAAGTTTTTCACTCGTGCCATTAGCGCATGTCCAGAAAATGTCTGATATCTGACCTTTCCCCCTGCCCTTTGACCTGTGACCTCCGATTTCGCCACTGGTGATGGTTTCCTGCCCATCACACTATACACCAAATATTAAAGCATAGGTCGAGACCGTTAAGATTTGTGGCCGCAATTCCGTATTTCCTCCTATATCTTAAGTTAAGGGGGAAATATTCCCCCTCCGTTTACACATCTTGACCTTTGACCCTTGACCCCAAAATTTGTCATCCTGAGCCATTTTCACAATCCCCCCCCCGACATCCCTAATATCGTGACCATATGTTGAGCGGTTAAGATTTGTGCCCAACTGTTGACGGACAGACGCAGCGGACGGATGCCACGAATGACGATCATGCGATTCTACAAGCTGCATCTGACTATGTCAGATGAGCTAAAAATGATAGAAAGTTCTAATATAAAAAAGTTTGCTCAGGACTGCTTTACCTCAAACGACGTGTGAAGCGCATTTGTAAGAGCCTCCATCACTGGCATATAAGGAATCCAGTTGAGCTTTGACATTGTTGAAACATGTCCACACTCATACATCTTCAGAAGGTTGGCGATTTCGACTGGGTGTATCTTCGACTCTCTAATTAACTCGCTGTCTGTGATGCGGACAAGGATGTTGGAAGTGAAGGGGCTATCTTCTTCAAGCACCCCAATAGCAGTCATCTTGCCTAGATGATTGAGCAATTCCACGTAATTCATAGTCTGTGCAAGAGCACCCCATACCTAAACAAAGTAATACAATGTAAGAACAGTATAGCTGAAGTAGCTTCAAAGTTGCCACTAACTACACCTACTTTGCAGTCAGACACTTTCAAATATTTTTACTTGTTATTTACATTTACTGACCTTGAAAAATGTTATTAACATACCTCCTTACTGGTATACAAGGTAGTTGGGACTTGTGCAGATGTCAAAATATGCTCCTCAATGAAACGTGCTGCAACCTGGTGATCTGTGGTGTGCTTCACTTCATTAACTCCATAGAAATACTTGAGCAACTGATGAATTTAACAAGACATACCATGTAATGCAGCAACATGCGCTAGGATGTTTTTTAGAATTTGAAGCTTAAAACTAGATACAGAAAAACGAATTATCTCATAGGATGAATAAATGAGCAAATGAATACCTGCACATTATTAAAAGGGTATAGAGCAACTACCTACCGTTTGCACTTCAGTAGAATCACTCTCTGCATAGGTCTTCTTTACCGTGTCATAACCTTTCATAATAAACATAAAAACAGCAGCCAAGCCTGTAAAATACAAAAAATAATTAGGGCTATACAGCAATATTATTTATATACAAAGCATATATATATATATATATATATATATAGCCATACCCCTGTACCCATGGAATATTCAACTTCTACATCACTTACATATACAAAGTATTTATACTGCATCAACTCATTATATCAGGAGTCTATCAATTTGATAGACTCCTGATTATATATCGCACAAAGAAACAAATACATATTGCAACCAACAAAACAAACAATAAAGCAAACTGTGTGATAACACACCATTGATCTCCTAAACAATTGTCTTACCATCATTAGTAGCTTCGGGTGGATGAGTCTGAGGACATCTCTGTGTGTCCACTTCAGTCGTGATTTGCCCTTCAAACGAGGCACCAAGTTTCTACTGCTGATCGGTTTTGTACCAGTTAAGTATGCTGTTCGCTGGCCATGACCCCAACCAGCCAGAGGTCGTGCACTCAATGTAGTCGCATAATCAATAAAGGTGAACAACTCAGAACTGTCAAGTAGGATACGGGGCAGGAGTGCGATAGGCTCCATGTGTTTCGCAGATGCGACTTCGAGTGTGCACATGCAGCCAATGGCAAAAATTAGTGCATGCCGGTTAACTGAGGATCCTTGTAAAGAGAATCGTCCATTTTCGGCAATGACCTCGTTGCTCGTTTCTTCTATCCTCTATCATGTCTTTTAAATGCGGTGTTTTCGCTAATGTCAGTTTTGTAAACCTTGGACAATATGATGGATACTCATTGCCATAGCACAGAAACCGATTGATAAATAAAATTGGATCTGGCTTGTTATCGCAGCCATGTTAGATAATATTAATAATTCGTGAGGTACCACTATGCATCAACTGTCAGTATATGCAACCTGCAATAATATTAAAAAATAATATAGATTTAGCTTGCATTGGTTTCGCCACTCACAACGCGAGTCACGAATTTACTTATCGTACACGTAGAACTATCATCTATGTCTATATAACGGTCACCTGTCTATAGCGATGTTTCACGTGACGTCATAGATCAGGTCACGTGTATTTGTTATGTTGTGGTTGGCAGAAGCGTAAGCGCGCTGCTTGACATTTACAGATGAATGACCACATGTTCTGATAGAAAGAGCTGTTTATGTAGTGCACGTACCACGTGCGTGTGCAGGTACACTGTGAGTGGTGTGCGTGTGCACGTACACGTGCGTGCGAGCGTTCGTATATGCACATATACGTGCGTGCGTGCATGTGCACGTACACCGCGTGCATGCGTGCGTGCCTACGTTGCGTGTGCAGATACACGTGTGCATAGGCGGCGCTGCGTGCATGCGTGCATTTGGATGTACACGTGCGCGCATGCGTACCTGCATATGCACATACACATGCGTGCATGCGTGCATACGTGAGTGCGTGCGTACGTGCACGATACACGTGCGTGCATGCGTTCGTGGAACGTTACACGTGCGTGCTTGCGGGTGTGGCACGTACATTGCGCTGCAGTGCGTGTGCACGTACACAGTGCGTGCATGCGTGCGTGCGAAGTACACGTGCTGTGCCGCTGCGTGGCGGTGGTGTATGCGTGTTCACATACACGTGCGTGAGTGCGTGCGTGCGTGCGTGCGTACGTGCGTGCGTGTGCAGGTACACGTGTGTGCATGCGCGCGTGCGTGCGTTTGGATGTACACGTGCACGCGTGCGTACACACACGTGTGTGCATGCGCACGTGCAGGCGTGCGTTTGGATGTACACGTGCGCGCTTGCATATGCACATACACATGCGTGCATGCGTGCGTGCGTGTGCACGTACACGTGCGTGCGTGCGTGCGTGCGCACGTACACGCATGCGTGAGTGCCTTCATGTGCACGTACACGTGCGTGCATGAGTGTGTGTGTGCGTGTGCACGTACACGTGCGAGCGTGCGTGCGTCCGTGTGTGTGCACGTAGATGTGTGTGCATGCGTGCGCACGCACACGTGCGTGCATGAGTGTGTGCGTACACGTGTGTGCGTGCGTGCGTGCGTACGTACACGTGCGTGCGTGTGAACTTACAGTCTTACACGTGCGTGCATGCGTGCGTGCGTCCGTGTGTGTGCACGTACACATGCGTGCGTGCGTGTGCAGTTACACGTTCGTGCGTGCGTGCGTGTGCAGGTACACGTGTGTGCATGTGTGCATGTGTGCGTGCGTGCGTGCGTGCGTGCGCACGTACACGTGCATGAGTGTGCGCGCGTGCACGTACACAGACGTGCGTGCATGCGTGTGTACGTACACGTGCGTGCGTGCGCTTGTATCGAACAATATCACGCATCTGCTTGCTGCCAACCGTTAAACTACGCATGTGCGCATATGATGTCAATGTTTATAAACATGAAACATCGCTATAAAAGAACACTTTTGGTACTACTTCTCCTAAGTGGCAAGAGTTAAGAATAGTCCATGATCTGATCATGATAATGGCATGTACTGATGAAGTCCGAGTTTCCTCTGACCAATGCCCACATCGCCAAATCCACCAAAAATCGTCGATGTGGGCATTGGTCAGAGAAAATTCGGACTAGTCTAGATGGCATGATCATGGACACGTGTGCAGTGTGACGTGAGTCTATGCACAGGCCCTTGGAGGCTCAAGTTTCAAGAAGAGTATAAGAGCGAAGCGCTTCGCTCTTATACTAGTTATACTCTTCTTAGCTCTACTCTAGTAACTATAGCCCGCGTACAGTTACCGCTGGCGCAAGCGCAAGCGCAGCGGCAACTGTACGCGGGCTATAGTTACTAGGGTGTCACTTTCCCCGGGCGTAGATAGAGGGTGCCGCTACGTGACAGCACTAACCCTAACCCTAATCCTAACACAAGTTCAGCCACATCACGTGACCCTCCATCTACGCCCAGGGGAAAGTGCATCCCTAGTTACTAGAGCTATACTCTTCTTGAAACTTGACCCTCCAAGGGCCACAGGTCCCTATTAGGCCATGAGAATTGAGGTATGAGTTTCCCGTCCGAGATATTTTGAAAAGTGAGGAGGCTTTTTTTCATTTTTCATTTTTCATTATTCATTTAATATTTGTAGTTAACCCATTGTTCATGCGACATCCGCATACATGTGTGTAATAATTCATATTTTATTATCATTATATATCGCACAAAGAAACAAATACATATTGCAACCAACAAAACAAACAATAAAGCAAACTGTGTGATAACACACCGATTCCTAACAATTGTCTTACCATCATTAGTAGCTTTCGGGTGGATGAGTCTGAGGACATCTCTGTGTGTCCACTTCAGTCGTGATTTGCCCTTGCAAACGAGGGCACCAAGTTCTACTGCTGATCGGTTTTTGTACCAGTTAAGTATGCTGTTTCGCTGGCCATGACCCCAGCCAGAGGTCGGTGCACTCAATGTAGTCGCATAATCAATAAAGGTGAACAACTCAGAACTGTCAAGTAGGATACGGGGCAGGAGTGCATAGGCTCCATGTTTCGCAGATGGCGACTTCGAGTGTGCACATGCAGCCAATGCAAAAATTAGTGCATGCCGGTTAACTGAGGATCCTTGTAAAGAGAATCGTCCAATTTCGGCAATGACCTCGTTTGCTCGTTTCTCATCCTCTATCATGTCTTTTAAATGCGGTGTTTTCGCTAATGTCAGTTTTGTAAACCTTGGACAATATGATGGATACTCATTGCCATAGCACAGAAACCGATTGATAAATAAAATTGGATCTGGCTTGGTTATCGCAGCCATGTTAGATAATATTAATAATTCGTGAGGTACCACTATGCATCAACTGTCAGATATGCAACCTGCAATAAATATTAAAAAATAATATAGATTTAGCTTGCATTGGTTTCGCACTCACAACGCGAGTCACGATTTACTTATCGTACACGTAGAACTATCATCTATGTCTATATAACGGTCACCTGTCTATAGCGATGTTTCACGTGACGTCATAGATCAGGTCACGTGTATTTGTTATGTGTTGTGGTTGGCAGAAGCGAAGCGCGCTGCTTGACATTTACAGATGAATGACCACATGTTCTGATAGAAAGAGCTGTTTATGTAGTGCACGTACACGTGCGTGTGCAGGTACACGTGAGTGTGTGCGTGTGCACGTACACGTGCGTGCGAGCGTTCGTATGCACATATACGTGCGTGCGTGCATGTGCACGTACACCTGCGTGCATGCGTGCGTGCCTACGTGCGTGTGCAGATACACGTGTGCATGCGCGCTGCGTGCATGCGTGCATTTGGATGTACACGTGCGCGCATGCGTACCTGCATATGCACATACACATGCGTGCATGCGTGCATACGTGAGTGCGTGCGTGTGCACGTACACGTGCGTGCATGCGTTCGTGTGAACTTACACGTGCGTGCTTGCGTGTGCACGTACATGTGCGTGCGTGCGTGCGTGCGTGCGTGCGTGCTTGAGTGAGTGCGTGCGTGTGCACGTACACGTGCGTGCATGCGTGCGTGCGAACGTACACGTGCGTGCCTGCGTGCGTGTGTGAGTGTGTGCGTGTTCACATACACGTGCGTGAGTGCGTGCGTGCGTACGCAGGTACACGTGAGTGTGTGCGTGCGCAGGTACACGTGAGTGCGTGCGTGTGCAGGTACACGTGCGTGCGTGCGTATGCACATATACGTGCGTGCGTGCGTGTGTGCGTGTGCAGGTACACGTGTGTGCATGCGCGCGTGCGTGTGTTTGGATGTACACGTGCACGCGTGCGTACACACACGTGTGTGCATGCGCACGTGCAGGCGTGCGTTTGGATGTACACGTGCGCGCTTGCATATGCACATACACATGCGTGCATGCGTGCGTGCGTGTGCACGTACACGTGCGTGCGTGCGTGCGTGCGCACGTACACGCATGCGTGAGTGCCTTCATGTGCACGTACACGTGCGTGCATGAGTGTGTGTGTGCGTGTGCACGTACACGTGCGAGCGTGCGTGCGTCCGTGTGTGTGCACGTAGATGTGTGTGCATGCGTGCGCACGCACACGTGCGTGCATGAGTGTGTGCGTACACGTGTGTGCGTGCGTGCGTGTGTACGTACACGTGCGTGCGTGTGAACTTACAGTCTTACACGTGCGTGCATGCGTGCGTGCGTCCGTGTGTGTGCACGTACACATGCGTGTGTGCGCGCGTGTGCAGTTACACGTTCGTGCGTGCGTGCGTGTGCAGGTACACGTGTGTGCATGTGTGCATGTGTGCACGTACACGTGCGTGCGTGCGCGCGTGTGCAGGTACACGTTCGTGCGTGCGTGCGTGTGCAGGTACACGTGTGTGCATGAGTGTGTGTGCACGTACACGTGCGTGCGTGCGCGCGTGTGCAGGTACACGTTCGTGCGTGCGTGCGTGTGCAGGTACACGTGTGTGCATGAGTGTGTGTGCACGTACACGTGCGTGCGTGCGCGCGTGTGCAGGTACACGTTCGTGCGTGCGTGCGTGTGCAGGTACACGTGTGTGCGTGCGTACGTGCGTGTGTGTGCAGGTACACGTGCGTGCGTGCGCGCGTGTGCAGGTACACGTTCGTGCGTGCGTGCGTGTGCAGGTACACGTGTGTGCGTGCGTACGTGCGTGTGTGTGCAGGTACACGTGCGTGCGTGCATGCATGTGCACGTAGACGTGCGTGCGTGCGTGCGT